TTTTTTTTTTTTTTTTTTTTTTTTTTTTCTGATAAATCATTAATAAATAAAGTCAATAATTAGAATAATTTTATAAATGTAAAGTTGAGAGCCTTAAAAGGTGGTAACATAAAAGAGATAAAAAATGAATATTAAATGAAAATAATGGGGTAGTTTGATGAATATATTTGAAGAGAGATGGGTTGCTAATTAAGATTGGAATAATTTTCTCCCACCCCACTTGTACCAAAGTCAAAAAAAGGGAGAATATAATATGTATATATATATACACACATTCATCTATGCACCCCATTTACCTTATGGATTGCTATTTAAGATTGGAATAATTTGAGCACACCCCACTTGTACCATACTCATCAATATATATATATATATATATATTGATGCATCCATTTTGGGGTAACTTCTGGGCTACATATTCTTCATTTAATCTCCATGGAAAGAGTAAAGAGAAGAAAGAAAGAAAAAAAAGATCCCAAGTTGGGCTTTTCATATGAGTGTTTGTCAGTTTGTTTGGTAATAAACGGGGTAAAACTACCGCTGGAATCATCACCATATTCTAATCCTTCTTCCTTATTGTTCTTGAATCAAATCCAAACTCCATTTTTTAGATTTTGTCTATCTAATTTAGGGAATGATTATAGATTTATAAGCGAGAAATATTAACTCCATAGGTACGAGGCTTTTTGGAGAAGTCCAAAAAGCAAAGTTACAAGAGCTTATGCTCGAAGTGAAGAATATCATACCATTGGGTTTATAAGAGTTTATGTTCGTCTAACACTAATTACTAAATGCCCAATGGGCTTGGGATTCAAGGCCCAAAGTTTATCCAATCGGTTCAAAAGCCCATGAAGCTGGAGCTATTTTTTTTTTTTTCCTAAATGATATGCAATAAATATTATGCGAAGTTGGGTGAAATTGAGAAATTATTGATATAAAAAAGTAAAAGATAAAAACTCTAGAAATTGATAAAAACTTCTTATAAAATCACCACCAAAGGAAGTTTTGCTACGAGTTTTCTAACATTCAAACACTGTGTGCGACTGACTGTGTGAGATAAGAAGAGGTAGAGAAGTACATGAAAACTCTGGAGGTGAAGACTGCATGTAGGCAAAAACTGCTGAAGAAACGGTGTCGTTTTGGTGGTTTAATGCTGCGGGGTACCCGGAGCATCACATACTTCTTCTTCA